TTACATTATTATTGGAAACGCCGATTGTTACCAAAAAAAAGACTACTAACGTAAAACATGTAGAAAATGACACGCCTTTCCGTTTGGGGAATTATCATATTAGTTTATAACAAATATCGTAAACTCCTGTGAATATTAGAGACATTTGTTCTTTAACAGTTTGAAGGAGAATAACACCAGTCACAGCGAAATGAGAAACGTATACCCATAACAAGTGGTAGAGTAGAATAATTAGTTCAACAGCTAAACACTTGAGTTAATTTTAATATGTCGACCAGAGTTTTTTTCAGAACAAAACAAAATACACTATATAATGTGTTATACAACATTGATTTCTTATGTGGAATTGTTATTATAATTGTGTATTATATACTTCTAGATTATGCCACGTAGTGTATTAGTATTTGGTCAATCTAACAGTATTCTTATCCTATGTTTGTCACCCAGATTTATCAGTGATAATAAGTTACCATATTTTCCTCATGCTCTATTTGAAGGGGAATCCTATACAAGTTTGCGATATCTGTAGGTATCTGTATTTTTTGAAAATGTACCATTTATCCGTATAACTATGTGGCAATTGAATATTGTCATTTATGTGTTATAGACGTTGAAAGATTTTTCAAAGAAATAGAAACTGGTGTATGTGAATGAACATCAAACATAACAGTTTATGTAATACTTCAGTTGGATATTTTATATGGTTCAGAAATGTGTCGATCTTTCAATTTAAATTGGGTTGTCCGAAAATATTATTTGAGGGATCAAGCTGGGCTCGGACTTTGTAAGTTTACATCGCCACCGAGGACAAACATCTAAACTTCGCTGTATTGTTCATGTTTTTGTGTTTACATCATTGATTAACTTTCTAATTTTTTAGACATGCTGATCATAATGACATCAGTAACATGACTACTTACTCTGATGACCAATACACAGCTACAAATTTAGTGTACTATAATACGAAGAAGTACAACGTGGAACTCTTTGGAACAGCACGTTATTTACAAGAATTGTAAGTAACATTCAAATATTCATTTACAAATGTACAAATGTGCATACACAGATGTATATACTATTGAAGAAAAATATCTGTTTTCTTGACAACTATATTATTTTCTGAATAGCTAAACATTACATATTTTCTAAAGAAGAATATCGTCTTATCATAAGTCACACATTGAGAACGA